AGCAAAGCTGTTTACTCTAGATGAGCTTAGCCTAAATAAGCTCAGAGAGAAGATTACGTGATCATGCCCTGGTCAGAGCAAAGACACAAAGTCTCAGCAATACCAGTTCAGACTATACTTCGCTCATCATTGCTTTGGGCAAATTTATTTCCGTTCAATAAGGAGCTTGCTCCCAAGTCAGGAACTAGAACAGAAAAGTTTTTTTTCCTAGAGGAAAAAGCAAACAAACAAACAGACACACACCTCCCCAGCCCCAACAAACGCAGATTAACTTGGGTTCTGGGTTAATTCTTTTCAGGATCACGTGACTTTGGGTTTGCATGGCAACGTTTTGGTAGCCAGGGAGGCTACAGGAATGGCTTCTGTCAGAAGCTGCTAGAAGCTTCCCCTCTGTCCAATAGAGGCAATGCCAGCCGGTGCCAAGACGGACCTGCTGCTGGCCAAGGCTGAGCCCATCAGCAACAGCACCTCTGGGATAACATATTTAAGGCGAAAAAAAAACCAAGCTGCACAACAGCAGTTGGGAGAGAGGAGTGAGAATATGTGAGGAACAGCCCTGCAGACACCAAGGTCAGTGAAGAAGGAGGGGAGGAGGTGCTCCAGGTGCTGGAGCAGAGATTCCCCTGCAGCACCTGGTGAAGCCCATGGTGAGGCAGGCTGTGCCCCTGCAGCCCCTGGAGGTCCATGCCGGAGCAGGGGGATGCCCGAAGGAGGCTGTGACCCCGTGGGAAGCCTGTGCTGGAGCAGGCTCCTGGCAGGACCTGGGGCCCCGTGGAAGGGACCCACGCTGGAGCAGCTCATGAAGAACCGCAGCCTGTGGGAAGGGCTCGTGATGGAGAAGTTCATGAAGGACTGTCTCCCGTGGGAGGGACCCCTTCCATTTCCCCTTCCCAAATACCATTAGCTAAGCCAGCAAAACCCCTCTTTCTCCTCCTGACACACCTATACACATTGGTCCCTTTTACTGCCACCCCACAAGGCAGAAGAGACTCCCAACAGGCTTTAACTAAAGCTTTGGCGGATCTGCAAGCATGCAACAGACAGAAGGAGCTGATTTAAGTTTTATGCTTATCCATGAATTAAAGGTTTGTTTTCTTCTCCTTATCTTCTCCTACTGTTACAGATAACAAGGGGATGAAGCACATTTAGCAGGGGAGCAAAGGAAGGGAGGAGGGTGACACGTCTGACAGAACCAAGCTGGAGCTAGGGAAGATAGGTCACGAGTTGGGATTCCAAGAAGGTGAAGGAGAGTGAGTACCAGGCAAAACCAAGGGGAAAAAACTGTCGTACCTTACGTGCTGCTGAAGTCAGTAGCTCTCCAAGGGTCCAGAGGCCTATCTTGATCTAGCCCTTCCCTCGCGCCACCCATCCGCACCCTAGTTCCCATCTCCCCCCCTGCATTCCCCCCGCAGCCCTT